CCCCCCCCCCCCCCCCCACGCTCATTTTGTCACTGCCCCCACCCCCACAGGTGCCTGTGGTTCATGCTGGAGGTGTTGATGACCAAGAACGAGAACAACAGTCACGCTTTCCTCCGCAAGATGGTGGAGAACATCAAGCAGACAAAAGATGCCCAGGCGCCCGACGACCCCAAAGTCAACGAGGTGCCCCGTTTTCAGCTTTCCTCCGAGCCGCCACGTGACTCGCATGGGCGTCCTTAGAAGTCGCCGGCCGGAGTGCTCCCCCTCGCTGCTGACGTGGCCGTTTCCGCCTGTCCCTCATACAGAAGCTGTATACGGTGTGTGACGTCGCGCTCCTTGTCATCGCCAACAAGAGCACCGCCTGTCACCTGGAGTCTCCCAAGGACCCCCTGCTGCCCTCCAAATTCTTCACTGCCCCGGACAAGGTGCTTTCCTGAGATTGTTTTCCAGATCAGCAGATTAACGTGAAGCTGATCAGCATCAGCAGAGTGTGCAGTAATGAGCTGTGTTGTCTTGCATGTAGGTATGAAGGGTTTGGTTCATTTAAGGCTACGTTTCCTTGTCTTGATATTCCTTTTTTATTTATTACATCTTCCTTTGCACCATTAGACTAATTATGGCTGCTTGATAAAGAATGCAGCCTGATCAGGGCCCTCCAGTGAAGAAGAGTGGGTTTGCAGGTGTCCAGGATCAAAACTAGGACCTAATGACCTCTTCGGCACAGCCGTCGGCAGGGTGTCTGTCTGCGGAGAGACTGCTGACCTCGTCGAGAGGTTCACTTTCCTCGGCTGCACCATTCGTGTCTCTGAAGTCAGCAGACTGATTGGGAGAGCATGGGGGAGTTATGAGGTCGCTGGAAAGGGGTGTGTGGCGATCCCGATACCTTTGTAAGAGGACGAAGGTCCAAGTCCTGGTGCTCCTTGCCTTGCTGCATAGCTGCGAGATGCTGTCCAGTGATCTGAGGCAAAGACTGTACTCCATTGGTGATGATGGTTGTACAGAAGCTAGTATCCTGGGAACGTTTGAGAAGCCTAAACATGTCAGTAATACTCTGTTCTTTGGTTATTTAAAATAACCTTGAAGCATTGCTGCTCCATCAGGGTTCGTACTGGTCTGCTTCTTAAGGCTTAGTCTGGAAGCTCAGCCCTGGTCCATCAGGGCTGGGGACCAGTAGGTTAGAGGATGATTATTGAGAACCTGGCCAATGCCTGTGACTGCACCTTCTGTGGATTGCAGCCCTGTAGTAGCTTTCGAGCTTGTGACGGCCGTTCTGGGTTTAAATCCCCTAGCGCAGGGTTTCAGGTTGTCCACGTTGACCGCCATGTGAAGTATGACCTCCCCTGTTTTCCAGGACTTCGTAAACGACAAGGAGTATGTGTCATCTGAAGCCCGCACAGCTCTCTTGACGGGAAAGGTAAGGAGGCCGTTTCAGGGTCTTTCAGGGTCTCCGGCTAGTTTCCCCCCCAGAGAGTGGTTCTGGTCACACACGCACTGAGGATCGGGTTCCCCTGGTGGTTCCTAAATCTGTCATGCCGGCCATGTGTTGCAGCCAAAGCCCAGCCCTGTGCTGGTCACCGTCAACAAGCCGCTCTCAGTCACCGGGAGGAGACCATACACCAAGAGCACGGCTGCAGACGGAGGTGCCGGCGGCATTGGTGGTGGCCTGGAGCCCAGTTCCCCCGCTGGGAACAAGGGGAGGTGAGCCCCCCTAATGTTATAGCACTCGAGACCGGTGTTGGTCTCGAACACTTTTTTTTGCGGTCTTGGTCTCGTCTAAGAATCAGCTTTATTTTGACTCAGTTTTGTTTTGGTCTCCAACATAGAGGACTCGAGGTTTTATTTCAAGACCAGTCTAGACCACTCATCAAAACGGCTCAATATTTATCAAAATGGCTTAATATGAATCTGTTTGTTAACCCTTAGAACCCGACAAACGCAAAATGCATTGATTTTCGCACCCATTAATCTCAGGCTCGTAACTTTGGTTAAGTATAATGCACAGACACGAATCGCTTGTCTTTGCAATCGCGAGAACTTACTTGATCCGGTTGTCGAAGTTGCAGTGTTGTGCCCTAAAATATTAGAGTGCACAATGAGGGATATATTTTAAACATTTTCCACAAAAAAACACCCCTAATAATCCATAAAACATCCATATTATTTACATAAGACGGAAAACAAAACACATATTCGCTTCTGCAATGATCCACAACAGTACCCTCCTGGGGAAAAGAAAATGTATATATTATAAACCTATAAACAAAAGGATAAAAAATACTGAAAAATGGCCTGGAGTTCTTCTAGAAATGACAAAATGCAGCATTCTATTTATTAGGAAGACAATTAATTTTCATAATATTTATTCACAAAAGTTTGAATATGTATGTTTGATGTCGAGCTCTGTCAAAACAGTTGAAATACAACGCGCCCATTCTGTAACTGGAACACCTTCCATATGTAAACACAATGACGTGCTACAGTGCAGGTTTGTTGTTTGAGGCTAAAATGCAGACTAAGTCTCCTCAAATTTCACTTTACCAATCATAGTGTGTATAGGCGGGAAAATAATAGCAAACGTTCAGCATTAGATATATTAGGGCTGTCAATAGATTAAAATATTTAATCGTGAGATTAATCGCACAAGTGTCCATAGTCACAAATTAAATCGTGAATTTATTCAACATTCACCATTAAGGGATTTTTTTCAGGTGTTAATATTCTTATCAATATTAGAGTTGGCAAGGCATGATTGCTTTTTGCAAATGTATGCATTTATTATTGGAAATCAATTACCAACAATAAACAAATTAATGTTTTAGTAAGTTTAGTATTTATATACTTAGGAGTGCAGTTCAGATTTTTTCTTTCCTGGACTATTTCAATCTGCTGCTCTTCCTGGTCCCTGAAACCCGCATCACTCACTTTCTGTTCTGTGGCTGCTGTAAGGGACGGGAACGCGGAGGGCTTGGAGACGGGGGCCAGTGAGAACAACGAGAATCCTGGGATCATCCTCTCTGACAGCAGCGGGAAGGTGAGTGGCCGAGGTCCCAGCGGGCATGGCCGCCCATTGGCTGTCCGATGGGGGGGCGGAGCCTGACGTCTGCTGGGGCCTCTTCTGCAGGATGCGAACTTGGAAGGCAGCCAGGGTGGCAAGATCGGCTCGACCCCCACGGCCTCCCCCACGCCGCCTGCAGTGCCGAGCAAACCCCGGAGAGGGCGGCCGCCCAAGTCGCTGTCTGGCGGCACGGGCACGCCCCCCAGTGCAGAAAAAGAGGGAGGGGCAACGGGGCGGGGCCGGAAGAGGGCTGCCCCTGCCCAGGACGGCACCGCCACAGTCGAGCCAATCACCATCAAGATACCAAAACAGCAGAAAGACACGGAGTCCAAAAGAACAGCTCCTCAGAGGCAGATGGACCTGCAGAGGTAACCGGCGAGCGGCTGCGGTGATGTCAGTGAGCAGCGAGTGTTGGTCTCCATAACGACCCCAGCGGGTTTGCCTCCCGCAGCCACTGCCACCTACTGGGCAGTGAGGGCGACACGGAGATGGAGTCCAGCTCAGGGAGCTCGAGAGAGAGCAGCTCAGGCAGGAGGGGGCCGGCATTCTGCAGCCAGGTGCACGGGGAAGCTTCAGCGGCAGGCTAGCAGATTGATAGGTCCTGAGGGGGCAGCGTTAGCGGACAGGTCCCATGATGCATCACTCCAGGCGGTTTGAGATTTCCTCCATGTCTCTCCATGCTGATCATCACACGCCTCCCGTTCTCCTCCCCCCCCCCCCCAGGTAAGACGAATGTGCAGGCCGACCCGTAGGAAGTGGAGGATCGCCCCCCCTCGTTGCGGGACCCTGTCCGGGGGGCCCTGGAGCCGTACAGCCGCGGCAGGCTCCTGTATCTCTCCGCTCATGTGCTTCTGGCCCCCAGATGGGACCACTCAGCATCGACATACACTTAAAACTGCTTGCGAGGCCCCCGCCGACAAGGCAAGGTTTCTCCACCATGAGAGACCCGAGGAAAGGGTGAGGGGGGAACCTTCCGGGAAGAGTTCAGGCTGAAATAACCATCCCTTCTGTTGTCGTTCATTTTCAGTCCACTAAATGTCTTTTAATGCTCTTTCAGTTTTAACGGTTCACAAGTCTGTATATAAATTTTTTTAAATGCCAATTTCATGTTTGAATTTCCTTAAGGTAGATGGTGGCTTTTCCAGTTTTGCTTTTTTAAAAAAAAAAAAAAAAAATTCTAAATTTCAGATCCCTGGTATCAATTTAAACGAGATCTGAAGCCAAATATTAACCATTTCCTGTACAATTAGACCGGCGCTGCTGCCGATATCGAAAGCTGAGGTTTGTCGGAGTGGAAGCACAGCAATAGTTTTGGCACTTTTTTTTTTAAAAAAAAAAAAAAACTGGGGTTGGGTTTTTCTTGTATGTTGGGCTGCATGTTTAACATTCCCCGTCCCTAATATGCAAGGTGTGGTACAGGTCCGAATGTGTGCATTACCCCTGACCCGCTCCCCTCCCCATAACCCTGCTTCCTCCTGCACAATGTGGTGACTGGGGCCCCCCACAGGCTCCGCCCCCCAGCGTCCGACAGAATTAGACCTTCGCCTACACTTATAACCAGGAGGTGGCTCAATGCTAGTTAAAGGCTGAATGGTTTCCGACTCCAAGGCCTTTTGTTTTTAACTTGGTCCACATTTTACATTTTTGTAATGAATTGAAGTTTGCTAAATGAAATGTACTGGTTTTTTTTTTTCCTTCTGGAAACTTCTGCTCAAAAGTTTTTTGAATAAATATTTTAAATATTTTCCAAAAAGGCCTGGAATTTAGATGCCTGCTTAAATAATACAGTTCAGAACTGTTTCAAGTGTTTTTAGAGATGGGAAATGCTTTTAAATGTTTCCAACTCTTATCTTGGGCTTTTAGTGGAATACTTACTATTGACTCGATATGATTCCCAGTAATGTTTTCAGAATTAGTGTACTGCTGTTCTGCACATAGTATTTAATTTCATGAGGCTTTGTTTTTTCAGAAAATAAATTTTTAGACGTCTTTGTGTGCTTCCCCTGGTCAATGAGTCAGGCTCTTGCTTTCTGGGGAAAAACTGATCTCCGTACCAGAACATGCTTGCTGTGACTATTTTCTTACATACAAGCTGATGTTTTCCTGCAAGGTGCCACAAGATTTTCTATAAGTTACTGGGCAGCATTTCTGAGCGTCTGGGTTTGAGCTGTCGGAAATATCATGCAATAAAACAGATACTTAAACCCAGCTTCCTAATGGGAATGAATATTCACATATCCCATCTTGCTCTCTGAGACAGAGGCAAATATACAGGTGAGAGCAGGTTTTACGGTCAGGGTTAAGGGCCTAGTTTTAACCATTCTGCCAGTCATGGGACTTGAACTGAGAACCTTCCGATCACAGGGACTGAGTCCGTGACCCACATAGTCGAACACTGCTCCGCCAGTTGGCGATCGCGGAAGGCAGGCAGAGTCCCACTTCTCAGACGAACTCGGCTTGGTGGGGCAGTCCGCTCTCAGCAGGGAAGGAGCTGTTGTCTTAAAGACGACAGTATGACCAGTGACCATGCTGTACTCTTTATTTCACTTTGAGAAGATGAGAGGAGATTCAAACTGGGAAAAAAATAAAATAAAATAATAAACCGCAACCCATTTTCGTGCAATATACTAAATACAACAATAAGGAAGACCTGGGGTGTTTTTGTTTCCATTTTTCTTTCCCTTTTTTACAAAAAATAATTCCAGCCATCAGTGGGGGCACTCTAATGATATATTAATTGAACAAAAGGCTGTACATGAGTAAGTACACATTCCTTAGTCTTACAGCAAAAAAAAAAAACACCCACTTTGCACTACCATGTGCAGACAGAAGGGGGCATTTTAACTACAGCGTGACTGAGCAGGACAAGCTGTCTGCAAAGGTGTGCAGCAGAAGCCGACCGCAGTGTGTCCGCCCTGCACTATCCAGCATAAGACGTGCTCCGTAGCACCAGCTCAGGAAAGCTGTTCAGCAACCTCCTAATTCAAGAACCGAAGACATTCGTGTGTGTGTGTGTGGCGCTGGGTCAGCAGGACAAACATCAGCTGATTTCAGTACCGCAAGCTGGGATTGGCTGTGAACCACTGATTCCACCAATGACAGCAAATTGTTTGATCCACTACAAACACACCAGCATGGTAACTTGAAGAGCGCTATACTTCCATAAAAGGAAGAGGGGGAAAAAAAATAATGCCTGCTGGTATTTGCATCCCTTCATGTCTAAGTGAAAACATGGCCTTAAAAACAAAGAAATGGAGACTAGTTAAGAACACCGAAACTGGTCATGGACACGAGGTTAACGCTCCGGGCTTAAACTGCACGCGTACGACGGCGCCTCCTGCTTCCGAGTTACTTGGCATTGAAAAGGCGTCACTTCACAGCTCTGCTCTCCCAGCACACATTGCGGTGGGGTGGCACTAAATGTACCTTAATTAAAAAAAGTAGATCAGCATTGAGGTTCCAAGTTTGCATGAAAACAAGAACTCAGATCGGGGTCTCAGGTGAGAAACTCACCCCCCACCCTCCAATAGAGATCAGTCAGATTATGTCTTCAGTCCTGTGGCTCCTACTACTGCACTAAGAAATGCAAGAATAAAAAAAAAAAATAGATGAACAAACAAGGGATCCAGCACCACGGGGTTAGGGCCCCTAATAAAGCAGACAGCTTGGCCTCTTGCACGTAACACCCACAGGGATGGCGAACAGGGGGTGGAGTCGGGACACACCAGACAGCACATTCTCCAAACATAACTAACCAACCCGCTTCCTGCTCATGGCCTTTCCTGTCGTGACCAGGCCGGCTGCAGCGTAGAATCATACAATTAGGATGTGAGTCTGCGTCCCACGGGGAGGACGTGACGTAAATGGACAGCGGACGGCCTGGATCGCCGCGACACGGAATATCACCCGGGAAACCCCAAGGGCCGTAGGCTCGGTTCACCTCACGGAAGGTACACGGCCCCCCCAGGGGACGGCGGCCCCGCCTTCATCGGACGACAGCTGGTTGGACGCATTCCCGGTTTTAAAGAGCCGGCAATGGGGAGCGACTGCGACCCTCCGGGACCGGGTGGGCACGCGACCCTCCGGGACCGGGTGGGCACGCGACCCTCCGGGACCGGGTGGGCACGCGACCCTCCGGGACCGGGTGGGCTCGCAACCCAGGCGCGCTCCCGCTATGTAGCCACGGGCCACAAGGGGGCGCCGCACAGCTCCACAAAGCAAAGCTGGAAATTCAGAAATACTTCAACAATAAAATGGTCACATTGCTTTTAAATAGTTGCCAAAAAATAAAAGTATAGGGCATTTTTCTTCATAGTAAGCACAGCTGAATTTTATAGTTTTACAATATTAAGAAAAATTAAAGTATTTCCCCATTTCTTTTAATTTACACAGACTTCAATACCTTTATTTACAAATGAATTCTTTGTATTCTTTTTTTTTCCAGTCTCAGCTTGAAGCTAGATGGTGTAATCAGTTAACAGTGATGGTTTTTCATTCTTGTTTTTAAAAATCTAAACATTTTCCTGTAAGTAAGAATCAAGAAAAGAGCAACCAGTTGGATCAGGTATGCCTGGGGTGGGGGTG